GAAATCGTTCTATTATAAAGACACATGCACGCATATGTTCATTGCAGCACTATCCAGAAGAGCAAAGACATGGAATCAATCCAAATGCCCATCAGCGATAGACTGGATAAGGAAAATGTGGTACATATACACCATGGAATACTATGCAGCCATAAAAAGAACAAGATTATATCCTTTGCAGGGACATGGATGGAGCTGGAGGCCATTATCCTTAGCAAACTAACAAACAAAACCAAACACCACATGTTCTCACAAGTGGAAGCTGAATGATGAACACATGGACACATAGAGGGGAACAACACACACCGGGGCCAATGGTAGGCAGAGGGTGGGAGGAGGGAGAGGATCAGAAAAAATAACTAATGGATACTCGGCTGAATACCTGGGTAATAAAATAATCGGTACAACAAACCCCCATGACACACGTTTACCTGTGTAACAAACGTGCACATCCTGCACATGTATCCTTGCACTTAAAAGTTAAAAAAAATCCATCTAGGAAAGCAGGATGGGGTTTAACTTGTATATTATACAGTTGAGTAAACACAGAGGAGAGGCAGCCAGCCAGTATCCCAGAGTTGCGGGAGGGATAGAGAAGGAATGATCTATGCTGAAGCAGAGGCTGGGCCTCACCAATAGGAAGGTCTAGAAGCAGATCTCTCAGGTCCCTGGGTCAATCTCCGAAACCGGAAACAGACCAAGGCATCCAGAAACAATATTCCACCCTTAGAGGGTGCAGGGCAATGTCACATATGTGCACTCACTTCATTCCAGCCACCACTCTTTGAATTAAGGATTCTTATCCCCATTTTCCTTTTTCTTTTTTCTTTTTCTTTTTTTTTTTTGAGACAGAGTCTCATTCTATCGCCCAGGCTGGAGTGCAGTGGCGCAATCTCGGCTCACTGCAAGCTCCGCCTCCGGGGTCCACGGGATTCTCCTGCCTCAGCCTCCTGAGTAGCTGGGACTACAGGCACCAGCCACCACGCCCGGCTCATTTTCTGTATTTTTAGTAGAGACGGGGTTTCACTATATTAGCCAGAATGGTCTCAATCTCCTGACTTCGTGATCCGCCTGCCTCGGCCTCCCAAAAGTGCTGGGATTACAGGCGTGAGCCAACTGGCCCGGCCTCTTATCCCCATTTTTCAAATGAGGAAACTGAGACTGAGAGAGTCTGCAACTCGCCACCTTAAATTAGATAGGTCTCAATTTGGCAGAGTCAGGATGAAAACCCAGGTCTGTGACTCAAGCTGAGGTTTGCTGACCTCGTGTCCAGTGACTCTCCCTTAGCCATAGCCAGGCTAAGAGGGAGACACAGAGCATAAAGAATATAGGTATAGGCAAAGGCAAAGAAGGCTCCTGGCAAGAACGATGGATTTAGAAAGGCAGAAGGAGCCAGCAGAAGTCATCCTAAGAAGTGACAAGCCACAGACTGGGAGAGAGATTTACAGCCCACATAACAAATGATTCAAATCCATCATAAAGAAATTCATAAATCAATAAGGAAAAGACCAACCACCCATAGAAAAATGGGCAACAGATACAAAAAGGCAATTCATGAGCGAGGAAATCCACTTGTGTATTTTAAAAGGAGCTGCATAATGACATAGGGCAGGGCGGTGCTTTTCCAACGTAATGTGCTTTTGAATCTCCTGGGCATTTTGTCAATATGCAGATTCTGGTGTGGTAGGTCTGGGGAGCCCTGGGAATCTGCATCTCTAACCAGCTCCCAGGTGATGTGGGTGCTGCTGATCCACTGGCCACACTTTTGAGTGGCGAGGATAAGACTGAATTCGTAGGTAGGGATAAGAGTGAATTCAGCCAGCCAGGTCTGAATTCTGGCTCTGCCACTTAGTGGCTGCAAACCGTGGGCAAGTAACTTCACGTCTCTGTGCCTCAGTTTTCTCATGTGTAAAATGGAAATAATAATAGTCTCCATCTCCTGTGGAGGACAAAATCAGCGAATATACATAAAGCATGTAGTACAGTATGTGACAAAAGTAAAGAACTCCATAAATGTTAGCAATTGGTGGTAGCAGTAGGACTAACTAGAGAAGCGAAGGTTAAACCACATCCCATTCCACACCTACCAGACTGGCAGGTGTCAGGAAGTCTGGCAATTTCAAGAGCTGGTGAGATAGGAGCTCTCACATACTGCTGATGAGAATGCAAGGTCACTCCCTTTGCAGAGCAGTTTGCTACACTATGATTCTAGGGGTGTGTGTGTGTGTGTGTGTGTGTGTGTGTTTGTGTGTAAAGAGCAGGAGAGATATACACACTAACTAGATGTGTCTGTGTGCGTGTGTGTGTGTGTGTAAAGAGCAATAGAGATATGTACACTAAGATGATATTTATGTCAATGTTTTTAAAAAGCCATAAAGGCAGCACTACATATTTTTCATGCATATATACGCATATGTTAAAAATATACAAACCAGTTACCGAAGAATACATGCCATACTCAGGAAACTGATCAACTCTGGAGAGGGAGGAGAAGAAATACAACTGGGGAAAACAACAGAGGCCCTGAATTGTGCTGAAAAAAATCTGGAGCAAAACTGACTACATGTTAACATTCGTTAACTCATTGGATTCATGATTATTTGAAACATTATTTACATTGTTCTTCCTACCTTTCCATATATATATGTTTTTTTTCTTTTTCTTTTTTTTTTTTTTTGAGACAGAGTCTCCCTCTGTCACCCAGGCTGGAGTGCAGTGGTGCAATCTCGGCTCACTGGAAGCTCCGCCTCCCAGGTTTACGCCATTCTCCTGCCTCAGCCTCCCAAGTAGCTGGGACTACAGGTGCCCGCCACCATGCTTGCCTAATTTTTTGTATTTTTTTAGTACAGACAGGGTTTCACCGTGTTAGCTAGGATGGTCTCGATCTCCTGACCTTGTGATCCACCCGCCTTGGCCTTCCGAAGTGCTGGGATTACAGGCGTGAGCCACCGTGCCCAGCCACCTTTCCATATTTTTCTTAAGGTTTTGAAACATTTTTCTGGGGGCCTGGCAGGGAGAAGGATTTTGGAGCAGGTGAAGAGAGTGGGCTTGGCATGGTGTTGGGTGAGGAGGGAGGACAGAGAGGTCCACCCAGTGGGGTAGGATCTCCTGTCCTCCTCTTTCTTCAGGAATAAGGGGAAAGAAGTCTAGAGTGGGAGATGGGAAAGTTGAAGCTCAGAGAGGTTAAGTGAGCCAGCCAAGATCGCTCAGCTAGTGGTGAAACCATTTGGACTATCAGCTCCAAAACGTATGCTCTTGCTAGAAGTTTACCCAGCCCTGGCCCAGGGGTCCCAGTCAAGGCCAAGGGCCCAGCAAGGTGGAAGTGGAAGTTGTTTACTACAGCCCAAGTCATTAATCTTCATGATATAACTATCCCAACAACTGCCTCCCACCAGGACAAGAACAGGCAGTGAAAGCCCCTGCCATCAGTTCTAACTAACCAGAAAGAGAGCTGAAGGAGGGGACAACGTGGGCCCAGCATCTGAACCGTGCCCTTCAGGAGCAACTGCTGGGACACACGAGGTTGGCAGCCTGGGGCCTCTACCCTAGGCAAGACAGATAGTGAGGCTAAAAATAATTGAGGCTGGGCAGGGCATGGTGGCTCACACCTGTAATCCCAGAACTTTGGGAGGCCGAGATGGGCAAATCATGAGGTCAGGAGATCGAGACCATCCTAACACAGTGAAACCCTGTCTTTACTAAAAATACAAAAAATTAGCCAGGCGTGGTGGTGGGCGCCTGTAGTCCCAGCTACTCGGAAGCTGAGGCAGGAAAATGGCATGAACCTGGGAGGCAGAGTTTGCAGTGAGCCAAGATCGTGCCACTGCACTCCAGCCTGGGCGACAGAGTGAGACTCCATCTCAAAAAAAAAAAAAAAAAATTGAGGCTGCACATGCCAATGTTCCTGAGGCCATCTGCTGCTGTGGAAGGAGTGCTCGCTGTGCTAGGGCACTGACCATGGTATGGCCTTGCGCAAGTCCCCTCTTCTTTCCAGACTTTAGATCCCCCTTCTGTAAAATGAGGCCATTGTGCTTTCCAAGCCTCAGGTCCCTTTGACTCTGCTGATCAAAGTTCTGAGTTTCCCTGAGGGACTTTGGCAGCCCTGTTTCCACTCTTTTCAATTTCCTCCTCTAACCCTCGTATGGGCACCACCTTAAGCTGCTGCTAGAACTCTGCATCCGTCCCTCACCATTCTCCCTGCTTTATTTATTTATTTATTTATTTATTTATTTATTTTGAGACAGAGTCTCGCTCTGTCACCCAGGCTGGAGTGCAGTGGTACGATCTCGGCTCACTGCAACCTCTGCCTTCCATTCGTTCAAGCGATTCTCCCATTTCAGCCTCCCAAGTAGCTGGGATTACAGGCATGCGCCACCATGCCCAGCTAATTTTTGTATTTTTAGTAGAGACGGGGTTTCACCATGTTGGCCAGGCTGGTCTCAAACTCCTGATCTCAAGTGATCTGCGCACTTTGGCCTCCCAAAGTGCTGGAATTACAGGTGCGAGCCACAGCGCCCAGCCTCTCCCTGCTTTAGAATGAGACACGTCTGAGGTTAAGCAAAAGAGGACTGCAAATCCTGACAGCACTGATAATATTTCACAGTTGTCAGGCTGGTGGACGCCAGAAAGTCTGATGGTACTAAGTGTTGACGGACATGTGATCATCAGAAATTCTCATCCACAAGGGAGGGAGTGCGAATCAACTCCAAAGGTCCACAGGCTTGGAGTCAAAACTGACCTGGGTTAAAATCTCTGCTCTGCTGTTTACTCACTGTGTGGTTTTGGCAAGTTACTTAACCTCTCTGAACCCAGTTTCCACATCTGTCAAGTGGGTGTAATAATATTACCTATCTTACAGAGTTGTTGTGAAGATCAAGGGAGAGGGCATGTGTAAGGCGGTGGTGTAGTGCCTGGAGCACAGTAGCTGCTCAGTAAATAATATCTGCCTCCGTTCCATCCGTGCCCTCCCCTTGAGAATGAGACTGTGAATTGGAGGGGATATGATTCCAGGAAGTTCAAGAATTGAGGCACCAGGGCCTCTCCTTCATGTCACCAGGCCCCTTGCTGCCTTTCCCCCAAGGGTTCTTGGTGACACCCTGAGCCCTGGAGAGCACAGTGCTTTCAGCACAATTGTATGTGGCTGTATCCGGACTCAGCAGACAAAAGTGCATTTCAAAGCCCAAGGAGTCTTTTTTTAGAGGAACACTTAACGCTACCTGACTTCAAACTATACTACAAGGCTACAGTAACCAAAACAGCATGGTACTGGTACCAAAACAGAGATATAGACCAATGGAACAGAACAGAGTCCTCAGAAATAATACCACACATCTACAGCCATCTGATCTTTGACAAACCTGAGAGAAACAAGAAATGGGGAAAGGATTCCCTATTTAATAAATGGTGCTGGGAAAATTGGCTAGCCGTAAGTAGAAAGCTGAAACTGGATCCTTTCCTTACTCCTTATACGAAAATTAATTCAAGATGGATTAGAGACTTAAATGTTAGACCTAATACCATAAAAATCCTAGAGCAAAACCTAGGTAGTACCATTCAGGACATAGGCATGGGCAAAGACTTCATGTGTAAAACACCAAAAGCAACAGCAGCAAAAGCCAAAATTGACAAATGGGATCTAATTAAACTAAAGAGCTTCTGCACAGCAAAAGAAACTACCATCAGAGTGAACAGGCAACCTACAGAATGGGAGAAAATTTTTGCAATCTACTCATCTGACAAAGGGCTAATATCCAGAACCTACAAAGAACTCAAACAAATTTACAAGAAAAAAACAAACAACCCCATCAAAAAGTGGGCAAAGGATATGAACAGACATTTCTCAAAAGAAGACATTCATACAGCCAACAGACACATGAAAAAATGCTCATCATCACTGGCCATCAGAGAAATGCAAATCAAAACCACAATGAGATACCATCTCACACCAGTTAGAATGGCGATCATTAAAAAGTCAGGAAACAACAGATGCTGGAGAGGATGTGGAGAAATAGGAACACTTTTACACTGTTGGTGAGATTGTAAACTAGTTCAACCATTATGGAAAACAGTATGGCGATTCCTCAAGGATCTAGAACTAGATGTACCATATGACCCAGCCATCCCATTACTGGGGATATACCCACAGGATTATAAATTATGCTGCTATAAAGATACATGCACACGTATGTTTATTGCAGCACTATTCACAATAGCAAAGACTTGGAATCAACCCAAATGTCCATCAGTGACAGATTGGATTAAGAAAATGTGGCACATATACACCATGGAATACTATGCAGCCATAAAAAAGGATGAGTTTGTGTCCTTTGTAGGGACATGGATGCAGCTGGAAACCATCATTCTTAGCAAACTATCACAAGAACAGAAAACCAAACACCGCATGTTCTCACTCATAGGTGGGAACTGAACAATGAGATCACTTGGACTCATGAAGGGGAACATCACACACTGGGGCCTATCATGGGGAGGGGGGAGGGGGGAGGGATTGCATTGGGAGTTATACTTGATGTAAATGACGAGTTGATGGGTGCAGCACAGCAACATGGCACAAGTATACATATGTAACGAACCTGCACGTTATGCACATGTACCCTACAACTTAAAGTATAATAATAATAAATAAATTAAAAAAAAAAAAAAGATAAGATGCCTGGATCACTTAACAAAGAAAAAAAAAAAAAGAATCACAGTCAAGGAAGGCCAGAGGCTGAAGGGCATTAATAGGTTCAGGAATGGCAAATGGTCATCATGTCTGATACCCCTCTCCACTCTTACACCCACGGCAGGCATCACTGGTCAATCACAGTCCTGAACCCATGTTGCAGAGAGCCTTTTCCCATCAGTTGCAGTTGGCATGCCATATAAAATCTAGTTAGCGTCTTTAGCAGGGACCATGGGTGCCCTGCCCATGCTATCAACCCTTTCCATTTCAGGACATATTAGCCTAGCATGCAGTTGCCAAGTTGCCAACACTGGCATCTCCTTTCCTAAGGCAGCCCAGAGGTGCAAGGAATGAACACCCTCTGGCTAGTCTCTTTTTTTGTTTTTGAGACGAAGTTTCGCTCTTGTTGCCCAGGCTGGAGTGCAATGGCGCAATCTTGGCTTACTGCAACCTCCGCCTCCCGGGTTCAAGCCATTCTCCTCCCTCAGCCTCCCGAGTAGCTGGGATGACAGGAGTCCACCACCATGCCCAGCTAATTTTTTATATTTTTAGTAGAGACAGGGTTTTACCATGTTGACCAGGCTGGTCTTGAACTCCTCACCTCAGGTGATCCACCCGCCTCTGCCTCCCGAAGTGCTGGGATGAGCCATCATGCCTGGCCTCCTCTGGCCGTTCTCAACCAGGACTGGCAGAAGCTGGCAGATTAATACCCCAGTTCCCCCGACCTTGAGTGGGATAACTCTGAGGTGCATCTTCTCCCCTGGCTTCCCCGAGTGCCCCAGCAGGGCTAAATTCCACTTGCCCACAGCGGGAACCTGCTTCATAACACGCCTGTTATTGGATCCTTCTCTTCCCTGTCTCATTTCCCTCATCCCACGACCAGCGTTTCCTGGGATCATTCCCAATTAAATCTACTTGCCCTCACATCTTGTCTTACAGTCTGATTCTGGGTAACCTTAAACTAAAACACCCCCTTCATCTAGTTTACATCCTTATTTTCTGGATGAAGGAACTGAGACACAGGGAAGGGAAGTGAGCAGCCCGTCAGAGCCAGTGGTAGAGCCCTAATGAGAGTCCCGTTCTCCTGGCCGAGGGCTCAGTTCTTCAGAGTGTTACTTCCTGCCTCCCAAGGGCTGCCCCTGTGTCTGCGCCTCCCACTTGGCCCCACGTGGATTCATCATTTTATTTTCCAATGCAAAAGAAAAGGCTGATTGCAGGTTGGAAAATCTATGGGCATCAGAGGCAGGTGCAAGAACTCCTGAGCTCATTTCTGGAGGTAGACACCTCCCCTCCCCTGGACCGGGTCCTTGGACCTGTCCCTCAAGATTCCAGGGCCTTGGTTTGCTCAGCAGTGGGACAGGCTGCTAGGGAAACCCACTCCCTGGGGGCATAGAAGGGGTTGTTCAGGCAAGCAACCAACCTCCCACCTCTTCCCTACCTCGGGCACCACCTCAGGGACAGTAAAAATTCACATTGCCACGTTTCTAAGTGAAATAATTTAAAATTACATTTGCTTTATAATTTTAGTGGAAAATGCATATTCTTTCAATCTAGGTTACCTATGTAGTTGAACAGAAGAACATCAATGAGAAAATGACCCCTACTTTCTAGCCACAGAAACATTAATTCTGGGAGTTTCTGCCTGCATCTTCATACCCCTGGAACCTGAGCTCCTCCAGTTCCATCACTGATGTGGAGGACAATGCACTTCCTGAAAAGTTTCTGGGTTTCACTCCTCCCATGTGCTGTGAGACTTGGGGCAGTTTCTCTCTCTCTGAACCTCTGACTCTTCATCTGTGGAACGGGGATGAAGATTCCAGCCTCGCAATGTTGCTGTCAGATGGCAGATGAGGGAATAGCCTGGCCGGAGCGGGGCCCTCCTTTCCTTGCCTCTGCTTGGAAGGCAGCTGGCAGGGGACTGCCCACAGGGAGGGTGTGGCCTGGGCAAGGCCTCCCGCCTGTCCCTCCTCCAGATTGGCCCTGGGGACAAGGCAGGGAACCCGTGCTGAGCTCTCTGCGCACAGCCCTGGCCAGGGAGCTGGAAGCTGAAGACATGAACAAGGTCTTCCCCAGGTGAGAGCTGTCCCCAGGTGAGAGCTGTGCCCAGGTAAGAGCTGTCCCCAGGTAAGAGCTGTCCCCAGGTGAGAGCTGTCCCCAGGTGAGAGCTGTCCCCAGGAAAGAGTTGCCCTGACCAGGCTCCTGGTCTTGGGAGAGCAAAGCTTGGGATGAAGAGTGGGCAGTACAGAGTGGGCATACATGGGAGACACGGAGGAAAATCAGCCCCCGGCCTGCCCTGGGGCTCACTCCCAGGGTGTAGGGGACCCTACCAGTGACACAGCTATACAGTCCAGGTGGCAAGTGCTGGTATGGAAACAGAGGAGCCGGGTGGATGGGAGGGGAGAGCGGCCAGCTTTACTGGGGAGGAGGGTATCAGGGAAAGCTTCACCCAGGAGTTGCTGCCCAAGCCGGTTTGAAGGATGAATGTTTGTCAGGGGGACACCAGAGAAAAAGGCATTCCAGGCAGAGGGCACAGTGCAGGCAAAGGTGTGGAGATAGGAAGCGGGCATGAGGCATCTGGGGCGTAAGCATGCTGGGGTGTGAGGGACCCGTGGTTCCACCTAAGACTCTCTCAGTGACCCCTCTGAAAACCCTGTTGTCTGCCTCCCTGAGGCTGGAGCTCACCTCACCTAAGCCCACCCCTCACTCTGTTCTCTTGGGCAGGGAGAGAATGACTACGCTGCTGCTGGACCCAAAGCCCACCCTGGAGGGGAAGGTAAAGAACCGGAGGGCCCGGGACCAGTGCCCTGTGGGGCTCCTCTGAAGCTGGCAGTTGGCTATAGAGGCATGAGGAGGCTTTGAGGCTCCCGCTTTCCCTCAGACCTCTGCCTCCAGGTTAATGTCTGCTCCCAGCTTCCTGGCCAGCCATGCTGTCAGTCACTTGCTTAATAGGGTTATTCATTCTCTCCACGCACATGCATGTATTAAGCACCTACTGTGTGCTGCCTACCTCACAGGCATCAAACTGCATACAATGCTCTCCTCTAACACAGGGAAAAGAACCAGCACCAAATTCCTGGCTCAGTGGGTGACCTGGGCAATTCTCTTTACCTTTGAGGGATAAAGTGACACATTTTATTTAGCCCTACTATGTGCCACTGGCCCACAGTGTGACCAGGACAGTTCTCTTTACCCTTCTGAAAACAGAAGAAGGAAGAAACACACACGTACTGAGCTTTGTATACGCCTTGGCTTGGCCCACATTTGATCAATGAGGAAACACACTGAGAGAGGCAGATTAAAATACCAGCTGTGAAGAATCCCACCCCAGTTATGTGCCTGGTGCTGCACGATCCCTTTAATCCTCAGCACAGCTCTGAGACAGGGACCCTGTTATGGGGCAATAACAGATGAGGCAGCTGAAACAAAAAGAAGTTGGGTAACCAGGCCAAGGTCACACAGCCGGGAGGTTGGAAGGCAGGGTTCAAATGTGAACTGAGGTGTCTCTGGTTACAAAGCCCCAGGGCTTCTGTTGCTCCAAGCTGGTGTCTGTTTATTTCCAAGTCCTGACTCATGATGGGCGCGGTTGTGGAAAGAATCGCCTCCTTCTCCTCATCGGTCCAGGAAGGGGACTGGCACCTAAGGGCTTTCTGGCTTTGAAGTGCAACAGCTTCACCTGGGCAGGGGCCTTGGTTCCGCGGGTTCTCCCATTGCCCCACCTTGCGCATGGTCTGTGCTGTACAAATATTTGAGGAGCTGCTTGGCTGATCAGGATACCTTTCCCTGCCCGGAGTCACGCTGCCTCCCTGGTTACCTGAGTTTACCCAGGTTGCTGATGGCCAAAGAGCCACCAGCTAGGGCTGTAGGGATGACAGGTTTTAGATTTATGCTGCCTCTCCTGCTATTGTCTCCCCTCCCAATGCACATCCATCCTGGAGTCCCACCGCCCCCGGCCACCTGCAACCACCAGGCCTTTATTCCTGCCACACCCTCTGCCTGGAATGCCCTCTCTTTGCACCCTCCTCTTCTGCCTGTGGAAATCCCACTCTGCTTCTGAGGACACTGCATTGGAAATGTGAATGGATTGGAAATAACCTGGACTGACCCATACTGGGGGCCTTCTCTTGTCTCCCGGGCCCCGGGGTCAGCGTATTCACAGTGTTCACAAAGCCCCAGGCCGGGTGCGGTGGTTCACACCTATAATCCCAGCACTTTGGGAGGCCAAGGCGGGCGGATCACCTGAAGTCAGGAGTTCAAGACCAGCCTGGACAACATGGTGAAACCCCGTCTCTACTAAAAATACAAAAATTAGCTAGGCATGGTGGTGGGCACCTGTCATCCCAGTTACTTGGGAGGCTGAGGCAGGAGAATCGCTTGAACCCGGGAGGCAGCGGTTGCAGTGAGTCGAGATCATGCAACTGCACTTCAGCCTGGGCAATAGAGTGAGACTCCGTCTCAAAAAAACGCAAAAAAACAAAAGCCCCCACTACATGCCTGGCTCTGGGCTGGGTTCTGGGGTCACAGGGATGAATCACACCTGCTCCTGCCCCTTTCTCTGAGGTACCTGTGGCCTGGGCAGGTCAGTAGCTCCCATGCTCCTTCAGACATGTCCATGCCTTGCCTTCCAAGTGCAATAACAAGCTGCAGAGGACAAGGACCAGGGCAAGCTGCACGGCAGGGCACCCAGGAGGTCCTCAGTAAAGCCTTCTTTTATTATTTTGTAAGCAGGAGAGAATTAAAGGAGAATTAAAGTGCAGTTCTACAAGAGTAGGGAGGTCCCCTGTCACTGCTATCTCCATAGCACTTAGAATAAGGCGTGGCACATGGTAAGTCCTCAACAAGCAATAACAGACCAGACACGGTGGTACGCGCCTGTTGTCCCAGCACTTTGGGACGCTGAGGCAGGAGGACTGCTTAAGCCTAGGACTTACAGGGCGCAGTGAACTACGATCACACCACTGCACTGCAGCGTGGGCAACAGAGCCAGACCCTATCCCTAAAATATAAAAAATAATAATTTTTTAAAAAGCAATAATAATAGCTCGTACTCACCACTTACTATGTGCTGAGCACTGTTCTAACACATTAACTCAACAAATTCTAATCCTCTCAACAAACTCGGAGGTAGCTACTGTGGTCCCCATTTTCCACATGAGGAATCTGAGGCACAGGGAAGTGAAGTGGCTTACTCAGTGTGGCCCAGGTAGGATGTGGTAGAGCTGGGATTCCAACCTGCATCCCGGCAGACTCCAGAATGGACAGTGAATTGGGACAGTGAAAAGGGCATGGGTTTTGGCATCAAACAGGTGTAGATTCACACACCAGCTCTACCCGGGGTGACCTGAATCTTTTCTTCTTGAGCCCTAGTTTCCTCATTGATAAAATAAAAGTTTGTTTTGAAAAATAAAGACCATGGTTATGAAGGGCCTAATGGAGCTTCTGCCCCAAGGTGGGGGCTGGACACACAGGCGTCCATCTCTCCCAGTGTCCTGAGGAGGTCACCTGATGGCGGGTGGGAGAGGAGGCTGTCCGCCTCTGCCATTCAGTCATCTGTGGGCCCTGGCCAGGGTGGCATCTAGTGGGGTGGGCCCACAGGCAGAACAAAGAGCATCATGGAGGGCTTGGGAGCTGCTCCTCCAGGGAAGCCATCCCTGCTCTGCTCACCCCGGTTGGGGACGGGCTGCTTGCAGCGGGCATGGCGGGAAGGGAGCTCCCTGTTCCCAGTGCTGGCCCCCATCACCACCACCCCCAGGCTTGTTTCCCCCCACACAGCAGGCTGCGGCCCCCTCTGCTGCTCGCGTCGCAGGGCCTGCCTCTCTGCCTCTCTGCTGTTCCTCCTGGCAACTCTGGCCGCCCTCATCGCCTTGGTCACCATCCTTGGACTCCCATCATGCACCCCAGGTCAGGGCGGCCAAGAAAGGGTGGGTCAGACCCAGTGGGAAGGGCATGGGGGGGCACAGAGAGATGAGGGAGCCCCGACCTGCCTGGCTTCTCTACCAGATGACTTTGGACAAATTCCGTAAGGTGCACGCACAGACACCTGCACACACACTGACTGTACCAGTCTCTGAGCCTCCATTTGCACATCTGTGACATGGTTACCGAGAGGATCCAGCTCTGAAGTCACCTCCTCCAGGATGTCTTCCTAGACCCCCAGGCTGGGTTACAAGCCTCTTCTCAGCCCCACAGTCCCTATACTTCCTCTTCCCCTGGCCTGGTCACCCTGGGGTAGTGCTATCCATCTGTGTGTCCATCTCCACCATGGGGGACAGGGTCACATCCCATACATGCCTGCAGCCCCAGCTTCAGGGGTGAACAACCCCAAGACAGTGCCTGCCCTCATGGAGCTAATAATTGTTCTGAGAGCAGTCTCGACATGAATACATATTACAGCAGGGTCCCTGGGATCCCTGAGAGTCTAGCCCCGTTGAGGAGTCAGGGTAGGCACAATGGGTATTAGTAGCAGGGGGATGCCAGGAAAAGCATCCCAGGAACAGGAAACAGCATGTGTGGAGCCCTGAGGGGTGGGAGGAAGCAGGAAGAGAAGAAGAGACTGCAAGAGGCCAGTGTGCAGGAAGGGCTAGAGTGACAAGTGGGGCCAAGGGCCTCACAGGCTGCACCGAGAAGGGAGGTCATAGTCCAGGAGCCACAGACAGGAGATTAAGTTGGGGGCAAGTGTCACCAGGTGGATGTTTCTGCAGGATGGCTCTGCAGCTGGGCAGGGTGGGTGTAGAGGGCTGAGGCAGGGCCAGGGGCTGAGATTCGCAGCTCTCTCGCTGCCCGTGCAGGAAACACAGGCCCTGAGGTGGATGCGAATACATGAGCAGCTGCAGTCATGAGTCCGTGCACGCACCTGTGTGTTTTGTGTGTCTATGAGTATATGCAGCTGTCTGTGTATGCATGTTCGTGTCTGTGTGAGAGCATGTGTGTGTCAGTGCATGTGTGCACATCTGTTGTCTGTGTATCTGTGAGTGTGCATGTAGGTGCAGCTGTCTGTGTGTGAGCATGTGTTCATGTGTGTGTGCATCTGTGTGTGTGTCTGTGTCAACATGAGTGTCTCTGAGAGTTGCTCCCCCGTCCCCCCACCCACACTAGCTGAGGCTGCCCAGGGACTGAGAGGTGGTTCACGCATGCACAAACACAAATGCACAAACCGGCTCCCATCCCCAATTATGCACACGTATACACACGTGGGGCCAAGGGGTTCCCCCTACCTTGTCCGCAGGTTTCCGTCTTTTAATTCTTTGCAGCAGCCCTAGGAGTGGGTATTCCTTTTCTCCTCCCATATGGGGGGCCAATGATGACGTGTCTCAGGGGTGTTTGGGGAACTATAGAATAAAGATATGAAAGTGCTTTGCAGTTGTGCCCAGATAGAAGGAATTATGACATATGGCCCTCCAGCCAGCCCAAGTATATTGCTTCTGACACTCTAACCTCATACCAGGAGCTTCACCATTACAACCACTTCACTGAATTGAACACTGTCCTCAGAAGCTTCCCGTGACACTGTAAATAAGTTTTCAATACAGGAGAGAACCATTACTTGTCCTGCACATTTTCTGTTCTATGTTTCTTCACAGAGATGCTTTTATTTAATCCCCACAACAGTCCCACGGAGTGTGTGCTATGATCCCCATGTTGCAGACAACCTGAGACTCAAGGTGGTCAGGTCATCTGCCCAAGATCAGGCAGCCGGCAGTGGGTAGAGCTGGGGCTTGAACCCCATTGATGGCGCTGGGTTCATCCTCCCCACTGCTCTAGCCCCTCAGGCCAGCTCTAGGTGGAGTTCAGGTGAGGAAAGTTTGTCCTTGTGAGCACCACCCCTGACCTTCCAGGGCCTTCCCCTACCCATTCAGGAGCCCAAGCTTGTATAACACTGACAAATAGGACAGGCTTCTTGTGCCATGACCAGAGGAGCTGCATTCCAGCCAGTGGGGTCTGTGATGGCGTTCGCACCTGTACCCACGGCGAGGATGGGGATGAGAGCTTGTGCCGTGAGTACCCGCTCGGTGCTGCCCCTCCCAGGGGTTCCCCCACAGCCTAATTCTCTCTGCAGCCATACTGAAGCTCAGTCATCCCTGAACACACCAGGCACCTTCACGTCCCCATGGTTTTGATGCTCCAGTGCCTTCAGCCAGGAACGCCTGCCCCGACCTGGTCCCAGTCAGGGACATACATGCCCCCACTAAGGAATGCCTTCACCCTGTGCATCTCCACTCCCAGAGAACCCGTATTCATCCCTCAAGGCAGAGTTCAAGTGTTACCTCCTCCAGGAAGCTTTCCCTGACTCCCACACGAGGTTAAATTGTCTCCTTGGGCTTCCACAGTCCCTGTGGTTCCCTGTGTCGCAGCCCTCGTCACACTGGTTGTCACTCGATTGGCACATCTGCTGCCCCCATCAGACTGTGAACTCCTCTGAGGCAGGCCCAGTCCGCTTGATATGGGGGCCCCAGCGCCTAGCACAGAGGGGTATTCAGAATGGCTTGCTGAATGAATGAGCAAATGAATGAATGGGAAGACCTGGCCCCGGACCTCAGACACCAGAATGTTCTCAGGAGAGAGAAGCCTGACCCCACAGGAGAGAGAGAGCCTGGAGAGGTGCAGTGGGTGGGGTAGGGGAGCTCATGGAGGGTGAGTCATTGCATCAAAGACCCTCAAGACGAGAAGCAATTTCAAAAACATCTAGTCCTTGCCCCAGCTCATCCCCAGGCCCCTCTTTAGCAAGCCCAACCGAGGCGACCCGGCCTCCGTTTGCACCCCCTGAGATGCAAGGGTTGGAAGGATTTTCCATGGGAAGGTTTTCCTTGTCCCAAACTTAGAGCTGCCTCCCAGAGTGGTTCCTCCCTGATTGGTTCCAACTCTGTCCTTCTGTCAACCCTGCCCCAATAGACCATGCTTTAATCCCTCCCATCATGGTGGCGCTGCATGGATTTGAAGATTACTCCCTTGCCCCCCATGAGGGTTCTCTTGTCTAGGCCTCATCCCCTTCTCTAGGTCACAGTCAGCCCCCTTGTGACCGAGTTCCTGGCCCTCCCCATTCCGTCAATGCTCCACAGAATAAATACCAACTGCCCATGTCCCCCTCCCTGGACAGGCCTCAGAAACATCCTCGGCGCTTCTGGCTGGGTCTGGGCAGTCTAAGGAACAGAAGCTTGCTCCCTCCCTGCCCGAGGTTTTCTACCTCTAGTGGTGTGGCCTGAGTTTGTGTGAATTTTTGGTAGCCCTATCACACTGCTGCCTAACAGAACACATTTTCAAGAAAGGTCCTCCGACTCTCCCTTACAAGGTGTGTGAACCCTACATCCCCTGAGCTCCGGGGCCCAACTGTAAGACTTGCACATTTATTCCTGTGCTGTTCCAGTTGGAGGAGGCTTCCTGGAGGTGATGGAACTTGAACCTGAACTTGAAAGTGGAATGGTTTTGGATAGGTATTAAGGAGGCTCTTTGTGGAGGGGCATAGGATCAGCAGTGGTGTGGGGCAGGAACACACCACGACTGGGGAGGAACTGAGGAAGGGAGGGGCAGCTCTCTGGGCCTCTGTCCAGCGACGGAGCTCTCCTCTCCCTCTGACTCTGCCGCCTCCCCAGGAAACCTTCTGCTTGCACCCTTATGGGCTGGATGGGCACTGATCCTGAGTTTGGCAACTGCCAGGGCGGCCAATCCTTCTCCAGATAACCCTCAGACAGCTGTGACCAGATGTGAACTTCTTCCTGCCTCCTCTGTCCCAGGAGATGTGCCCCAGAGCCTCCCCCGCTTCCTCGTGGCCCACTGTGGAGACCCGGCCTCCTGGATCTACTCAGACCAAAAATGTGATGGCACTAACAACTGTGGGGACTGCTCGGATGAACAGCCCAGGTAGGGGTCTGGGCACAGGCTGGGCTGGAGCCGGTGGCTGGGCAGCAGCCAGAGGGCAAAGGGTGACCAGGGAATCTCTAGGGCTCCCCTTTGCATGCCTTCTCTGCATCCTAGGAAGGAGTTCTCTACCCCTGCTTGAATACATCCTGTGGTGGGGTACTCACCACCACTCCAAGTGACTTTTTCTGGAGGCTCATTCTTCTGCAGTGGGGAAGTCGCCTTCAAGGGCGCAGATGAGAAAACTGGGTCCCAGAAGGTGGTCATGCAAGGAGCACATACATGACCCTGCTGGGATTTGAACCTGGGATTCCCTCATCTCTGCACCTCCCAATAACCCTGTGAGGAAAGCAGGGCAGGAATCACCAGCCCAAATTTGTTTGTAAGTAAACCGAGGCTTTGAGCAGAGAAAATTAGTACAGTGCATGACAGGAAGGGAGCTCAGGTGTGAACCCAGGCCTCCTGATCCAAGTCCCAAGGCCTATAGCTGCCCTAGAGTTTCCTCTCAATCTCTTCCCCAGTGGTCAATCAACAAACATTTTCTGAGCACTGGTGGGGTGCTCAGAACACACCTGGTATCAGATTCAGGTGGGGGACATCAGGAATCAAGCCTGTGTCCTACCCCCAGGACTTACATCATGCTGATGCCAAAAGGAGATGCTGGGGACCTGGAGGAATCAAGGGAGACTTCTCAGAAGAGGTGGCATTCAGGAAGACCAGAATAGACAGGTTTCAGTAGGCAGAGGCTGGGTGTATGGGGAGGAATGCCTGAGGCCTGAGCAGAGGAGAGAAGGCTAGGAGCACTCTCAGGGAGTCATGGCAGGTAAATGTGGCTGGACTTAGGGTAAGGAAGGGCACCCATTCATATTGCAGTCTTTACCATGTGCCTGGGACTTTGCCTGACATCCTTTGCTTAATAACAAGCTTGAGCACACTAGGAAACAGGTTCAGACAGGGTGAGCAAAGTCACATAGCCTGTGAGCTGTGGAGTCTAGATTCTCTCTGCTGCAGAAAAACTAGGAACACACTCAGCCCATATTAGATAGGTTGGGGCCATGGGGAGCTAGAGCAGGTTTCAGAACTAGGGAGTGCCCTGGTGCACAGAGCATTCCAGGACACAGCAACTGCTCTCCTGCTGGCTCTTGTCTCCCCAGTGACTGTGTGCTCACCCTGTGGCCTTGGGTGGTGGCATTGTCCTTCAACCTTCTTCAAGTACTGCGACTGTATTCCGAGGCGTCTCTGCCGCGACCACATACAGTACTGCTCTGACTGGTCCGATGAGTATGCCTGTCCCGGACCCTGAGTGGGCTACTCAGGCCAGCATGGAAGGCTGGCTAGAATGGCACTGATAACCCTGCACATGAAAATTGAATCCTAGCTCACAAGGGCAGGAAGGAGCCTTTGAAATGGGATCTACAACCATTTCTGAAGAGGAATTTTCTCTCCTGCTTTCAAGTTTTTCAGTCTCTGCTTGAATGCCTCCAATGACCAGGAGCTCATTACCATGTTAGGTGGCTTCTAACACAGATGAGGTGATGAAACCCTGTCTCTACCAAAAATACAAAAATTAGCCAGGCATGGTGGCGCACACCTATAGTCCCAGCTACTAGGGAGGCTGAGGTGGGAGGACTGTGTGAACCCAGGAGGTCAAGGCTGCAGTGAGCTGTGACCATACCACTGCACTCCATCCAGCCTGAGTGACAGAGTAAGACCTTGTCTCAAAAAAATAAAACAAAACAAAAACATAAACAAAGAGAAAAGGAATCTACTTCCATGATTTCATGCCTGTCTCTGGGGTGTCTCATAGGAAATCTGCTAACTGCTCCAAGACAGACTTGTGGATCCTAATCTCATCACCCCTTGGAGTGATGATATGTCTGGGAACTAAATGACAAGCCGAGTTTAGCCTTCATGGATGGCACATATGTGAAACATATGCCACTTCCTACCCCTTTGGTACCTAAGGCAGAGATACTGGGCTTGGATGCAACCTTAGCATCTCCCCCAGTTCAGTTAACCCCGCAGGCTCTGCTGGTTTAACCACGTGACACAGCACGTGAAACAGGGTATCTGGCATCCTACCGGTGGGAAGCCACCACAGGAAACTCCGAGCTGTAGAACAGAAGATCTGGAGAAAGAGCAGCTTAAAGGGCTCCTCACCAGTCTTCTGTCTGTCCACCCTGCTCTCCACACCACCACTCCCCGCCCTCCACTCTATGCCCAGCTGCCCGCCTAAACAGCCCAGCTTTCTGGAAGTAGGGACTATATTTTGGTCCTGGAGCCTGAATGAGCTGCTTCTCTGCTTATTTTTCCAGCTTCACACCGCCCAGGCAGGCAAGGATGATCATTTCCATTAGATGGATGAGAAAACTGAGGCCCAGAGAGGGCAATGACTTGTCCAGAATCATACAGCAAAGTCAGTGCTGGAACTGGGACCCAAATACAGTCTATGGTACCCGAGCCCAGAAGCCTTTCCAGCTACCAGTGTAATTATACCTTGGCCAGGGCAGAGTCTCTGTGGGGTATTTTAAAAGTGAGCTTGTCAGGTGCAGTGGCTCACACCTACAATCCCAGCACTTTGGGACACTGAGGTGGAAGTGTCCCACTTGAGCCCAGGAGTTTGAGACCAGCCTGGGCAACATAGGGAGAACCTGTCTCTACAAAAAATAGGGAAAAACAATAGCTAGGCATGGTGGTGCATACTTGTAGTCCTAGCTACTCAGAAGGCTAAGGTGGGAGGATCGTTTGCGCCTGGGAGGTTGAGGCTGCAACGAGGCATGATCATGCCACTGCAGTCCAGCCTGGGCAACAAAGACCCTGTCTCGAAAAATTTCTTTTTAATAAAAAGAAAACATGAGATTGAGGGTCAGAAAGTGTGCAACCCATATTCTGAAAGAGAGACTTGGGATCTGCCTGATGGGAGGGGTCTTGTCGAGGGAGACAGACATGTCCCCACTGAAAATTAATAAAATTGGTTTTACATATCAGTTTTCTGAGTTTTGAAAACTGAAAATGGCAGCCATAAGAAGGAATGAGATCATGTCCTTTGCAGAGACGTGGATGAAGCTAGAAGCCATCATCCTCAGCAAACTAGCACAGGAACAGAAAACCAAACACTGCACGTTCTCACTCATCAGTGCGAGCTGAATAGTGAGAACACATGGACACAGGGAGGGGAACATCACACACTGGGGCCTGTCGGTGGTGGGGGGTATGGGGAGGGAGAGCATCAGGACAAATGGGGGCTTAAAACCTAGATGACAGGATGCAGCAAACCACCGTGGCATGTGTATACCTATGTAAGAAACCTGCAATGTGTATCCCGGTACTTAGAGTAAAAAAAAATTTTTAGTAAGTAAAAAAAAAGTAAGACTTAAAGTAAAAAAAAAAAAAATTTTTTAAGAAAAAAAGAAAACTGAAAATGGGCATTGAAGGGACTGGTGAGCTCTGATTTATTTATTGCCTCATATAATCGTTCGCTCATCAGCCTCTGCAAACCTGCTTTGGACCAAACTGTGAGCCAGATGCTAAGCCCCCAGAGAAGAGACCTGGATCCTAGTACACGAGGAGCTCAGGGTCACCTGGAGGAAGCACCTCACACCATGGAGGGAGGGCTGCGACTGCAGGAAATGCTGGGCCGAGGGCTCCGAGGAGGGTCTCCCAGAGCAAGGACAATCACATTTCTGACCCGGACCAACTGAGGAGCTCCTGGAACAGTGTTCCTCAGGAATCTTGCCCAAGGGACTGTTAGCTCTCAGCTCTGGCACGTTCCGCTGATTCTCTCTCCAACTGCAGTGCAAGCAGGAGCTGAGAGAGCCCTCGGGCATCCTTAATTCTGACCCTGAACCAGAGGAGCCTTCCTTCCCAGAGGAGGAGGACTTTGGGCCAGCTATGGAGGCTAGAAGAATTTCCAGAGGTAGGAGGGGACAAAATGGACATTCCAGGATGAGGGGGCATGTGAACAAAGTCATGGAAGTGAACTGTACAGCTCAGCCAGCAAATGTCCAACAGGCCAGAGAGGCCACAGTAGAGGGTGGGTGAGGAGCGAGGAGAAGAGGTAAGAGGGATGAGCAGGGGATGGATTATGGAGAGCTTAGCATGGCAGTGGGCTATCATCAAGGGCAATTTAGCCTGGAAACTGGATCTACCACAATCTGCATCTACGTATATATATTTCTAGAGACAGAGTCTTATTCTGTTACCCAGGCTGAGTGCACTGGCATGATCATAGCTCACTGCAACCTCAAACTCCTGGGATCAAATGATCCTCCTCCCTCAGCTTCCCAAGGAGTTGGGATTACAGGCGTGCCCCACCACGCAGAGCTTTTTTTTTTTTTTTTTTTTTTTAGAGATGAGGGTCTCACTGTGTTGCCCAGGCTGGTCTTGAACTCTTGGCCTCAAGAGATGCTCCTGCCTTGGCTTCCCAAAGCTCTGGAATTATAGGCATGAGCCACGGTATCTCACCTAGCATGACCTTTCACTACAACAGCCCAATAAAAGGGATGCCAAGGGCTGGGACCAAGTGGGCAGAGAAAAGGGGTGGTCAAGGGCTATTTACTGGTAGAACTCATGGGTCTTCAGCCCTCCTATGGGTGGGGGACGGGGGACAGTAAGGTGGGGGAATGAGAAAGATGACGAGTCCAGGATGCCTCAGAAGGAGTGTGTTCCTGGCCTCCTGCCTTGGGCTATGCCTTCTCTAACAGGACGCCAGTCTCAAGGGAAAGAGGGGTTGAATCTGTCCTTGAAGAACAAGAAAGGTCCAGAGGTTCATCTCAGCACCCAAATGACAATATGTCCTGAGCACTGGCCACAGGAAGCCAGGCAAGATCAGAGCCTGAGCCTATGTTTGCTCATACCAAGTCAGCCGTGGCGGTTCAGGCGGCTGGAAAGCGTCCAGCTCCCCGCAGGGTCTGTTGGTGTGGCAGTTGGGCTTCTTTAGTGGGCAGCCTGGAGCTTCTCTGAAAAAACAACCAGAGGCCCCACCACTGTGGGCAGCTTATTAATTTACTCCCCATCAAACCATCCACAGGCCTCTGAGGCTTAAGATGCTTCATTAACAGAATAGGGAAACCAAGTCTAAGACAGACTTGTCTGCGTCCACTCAGCATGTCAATAGCTGGGCAAGGACTAAAAGCCAAGTACCTAGGTGCACACAGCTAGCGTCTGACAAGCACTTGCAATGAACCGGCACTATGGTAAGTAAGGGCTTTACCTTTTATCCACACAACAACACTATGAGGTAGGTATTATTTTTAGAGGACCTAAAACCTCTCACTTAGAGAGGCAAGGCAGCTTATTGAGGGTGTGTGACTGGTAGGCGACAGAGCCAGGATTGCCAACGCTGAAGTCCGGGCCCTTGCCATGTGATGTGGTTTGGCTGTGTCCCCACCCAATTCTCACCTTGAATTGTAATAATCTCCACGTGTCAAGGGCAGGGCCAGGTGGGGATAATTGAATCATGGATGTGGTTTCCCACATACTGTTCTCATGGTAGTGAATATGTCCAGTGAGAGCTGATGGTTTTATCAAGGGCAGTTCCCCTGCACAAGCCCTTTTGCCTGGTGCCCTGTAAGACATGCCTTTGCTCCTCCTTTGCCTTCCACCATGATTGTGAGGCTTCTGCAGCCATGTGGAACTGTGAGTCCATTAAGCCTCTTTTTCTGTGTAAATTACCCAATCTTGGTATGTCTTTATTAGCAGTGTGAGAACAGACTGATACACCATGGTAGTTCAGTTTTGTGCTGTCTCAGGAGGTCTGGGAAAGCTTCCTAGCAGAGGTGACACCTAAGCAGGACCTCGAAGGGTGATTAGGAATGAGCCAGGCAGGGGGCGTGGAAAGGGCAGTCAAGGTTGAAGAGATGTTCAGCCACCAGGCAGGAAGGCAAGTTGGGTGCAATGTGGGGAGGGCACGTGACAGCTGAGGGAGTGCCTGGATGTCAGGAGAGTCTTGGACCCTGGCAGCAGAGAGGGAACTTGATTATGAAGGCTGCAGGCTGCCAGCAGAGGTTTTCAGCAGGAGGAACCCATATATTTGATTTCTCCTTCTGAGGAGGGGCTGCAAAGAAAGCTGTCCTCTGAACGTTAGGAATAAGGACACAGCGCCAAACCCTCTCAAATGCTTACTGAGAGGAAAAGTGAGCTCCGGAATGCAAATGTCACTTGGAAGCAGTAAAGCTTCATGCAGAAGAAAAGGGTGCCAGGCGCCGTGCCAGGGACTTTAATGAATATTGATAGTCAAGGTTTAGGGAGTGCTCAGTCCATGCCAGGCACCACTGAGAAGCTCTGTATGTTGTATCTCTGGCATCTCATTTTCTGTAGTCCTCACAACCACTCTACATACCTGGTTTGGTTATTCACACTCCCCAGAGGCATGGAGAGATGCAGCTGCTTGCCTAAGATCACAGTTTTTAAGATGCAGGCCCAGGATCCATACTTTGATAGGCCGCCATACCCCTGGTCATGTCTCACTCGTTTTCAGCCAGCTCTCCCTAGAGAGCAGAGCTGGGGCTCTGGCCAAAGGGCCACAGCCTGTAAACAGGAGGTGGCTGGCTTGGGCAGAAGAACCAGCGTTTGTTTTTTTCCTGTTAATTGGGTCTTCCTTTCAGAAAGGTGCAGGTGCCTCAGCAACCACTCAAACAACACTCAATAAGGTGGTTCCAGAAAGACACAGGACCCATGGCAGCCAGGCAGGCCCCTCCTTTGGCTCACGTCAGCAGAGCAACCTGGAGTGAGAACCCAGGTAGCCAGCGTCAATATTTGCCATCTCCCAGCCTCCCTGGCTCCAGCTCCAAGATCAGTACTTTAAGAACAATGGATTTTTTGCTGTGCAAACATGCAGGGATAGATTAATGGAATTTGAACTGGCTCAGGCTGGGCCCCAGGGTTTGGACTGGAAATGTGGTCTGGTTTAACTATCTGTCGTCACTGTTTGCAGGGGACTCTTTTTCATCCTTAGGTTCACAGAACCACAGACGTCAGAGCTGGCAAGGACCTCAGAGCACAGCCAGGCTTTTGACAAAAGAGGACACTACTTCCCAGAGAAGAAAGGGACCAGCCCAAAGATGCACTGCCAGGTGGCTATCACTGGGATTCTGAGGGCCACTCGAGGTCAAAGTAGAAGTGATTTCTCTGAATCCTTGAAAGAATATATATATAAAAGTATGTGTGTATGTATACATACATATATATAGTATGTATATATATTTGTACATATGTATATTGTATATATACATATATAATTATATACAATAAAATGCACAGATCTTAAGTATCTAGTTCAATGAGGTTTTTAAAAACAGCTTTATTGAGGCATAGTTGAAATACAGTAAGTTATGCATATTTATTTTTAAATTTTTTTTTTTAGGATGGAGTCTCACTCTGTCATCCAGGCTAGAGTGCAATGGCTCGATTTTGGCTCACTACAACCTCTACTTCCCAGGTTCAAGCGATTCTCCTGCCTCAGCCTCCGTAGTAGCTGGGATTACAGGCACCCGCCACCATGCCCAACTAATTTTTGTATTTTTAGTAGAGACAGGTTTCACTATATTGGCCAGGCTAGTCTCGAACTCCTGACCTCAAGGGATCCACCCATCTTGGCCTCCCAAAGTACTGGGATTACAGGCATGAGCCACTGTGCCCAGTCTTATTTTTGAATTAGAGACAAGGTCTCACTGTGTTACCCAGGCTTGTCTCGAACTCCTGACCTCAGGTGATCAGGAGCCTCTCAGTGCTGGGATTACAGGTGTGAGCCACTGCGCCTGGCATGCTACACCTATTTAAAGTGTACATTTTCGCTGAGCATGGTGGCTCACGCCTATAACCCCAGCACTTTAGGAGGTCGAAGCAGGAGGATCATTTGAGCTCAGGAGTTCAAGACAAGACTGGGCAACATGGCAAAACCCCATCTCTACAAAAAATACAAAACATTGGTCAGGTGTGGTGGCACGTGCCTGTAGTCCCAGCTACCAGGGAGGCTGAGATGGGAGGATTGTGTGAGCCCTCAAAGTCAAGGCTGTAGTGAGCTGTGACCGCACCATTATACTCCAGTCTGGGTGATGGAGCAAGACCCTGTCTCAAAAAAATAAACATTTATGAAACAACATTTTTGGAAGTGTTGACATATATACACACCCATGAACTGTCACAGTTAATACAAGAGAACAAACTCATCACCCTTAAAAGTTTCCTCATGTCCCTTTGTAACCCCTCCCTCTTACCTATCCTTGATCCTCACCCCCATATTCAGGCAACCACTGATTTACTTTTTGTCAGTATAGACTCATTTGCACCTTTCTATAATGTCATATAAATGTGATCATACAGCATATACCAGGTTTTGTCTGGCACCTTTCACTGAAAATAACTATTGAAACTCGTCCATATTTTGTAGCATGTCCAGTATTCTTTTTTTTGTTGAATAAAAGTTCATTGTATAAACCACTATGTGTTTATGGATTCCAGGCTGAAGAGACGCGTTCTTCACTTATGCTTCACCTATTGACTCACTTATTGATGAATTTTGGGTTATTCCCAGTTTTGGCTATTACAAATAAGACTGCTATGAACATTTATGTACAACTCTTTAAACATTTTTTAATATTTTCTTTTCTTCCTTTTTTTTTTTTTTTGAGACTGAGTTTCACTCTTGTTGCCCAGGCTGGAATGCAGTGGTGCAATCTCAGCTCACTGCAACCTTTGCCTCCTGGAGTCAAGCAATTCTCCTGTCTCAGCCTCCCAAGCAGCTGGGATTACAGGCACCTGCCACTGTGCCCAGCTAATTTTTGTATTTTTAGTAGAGGTGGGGTTTCACCATGTTGACCAGGCTGGTCTTGAAGTTCTGACCTCAGGTGATCCGCCCGCCTCAGCCTCTCAAAGTACTAGGATTATAGGTATGAGCCACCACACTCGACCTTCTTTTCTTTTTTTTTTTTCTTTTTCTTTTTTTTTTTTTTTTTTTTTTTTTTTTTTGTTTTTTGAGATGGAGTTTCGCTCTTGTTGCCCAGGCTGGAGTGTAGTGACACAATCTCGGCTCACCACAACCTCTGCCTCCCAAGTTCAAGCAATTCTCCTGCTTCAGCCTCCCGAGTAGCTGGGATTATAGGCATGTACCACCACACCTGGCTAATTTTGTATTTTTACTAGAGACAGGGTTTCTCCATGTTGGTCAGGCTGGTCTTGAACTCCCAACCTCAGGTGATTTGCCTACCTCAGCCTCCCAAAGTGTTGGGATTACAGGCGAGAGCCACCACGCCTGGCCCTTTTCTTTATATATATGTATTTAGAGATAGGGTCTCACTCTGTCACCCAGGCCGGAGTGCAGTGGTACGATCATAGCTCGCTATAATCTCTGACTCCTGGCTTCAAGAGATCCTCCTGCCTCAGCCTCCCAAAGTGTTGGGATTACAGGCATGAGCCACCATGCCCGGCCTGTGTACAAGTCTTTCTATAGATATACACTTTCATTTGTCTTGAGGAAACACCTAGGAGTGGAATCGCTGGATCAAGTAGGTGTGTTTTTAACTTTTAAAAATTATCTGTTTTCCACAGTGGTTGCATCATTTTACATTCCCACCATTAGAGTATGAGAGTTCCAGTTGTTCTACATCCTCACCAACATTTTGGAGGACTTCTGTCGAGGGAGCCAGACATGTCCACATTGAAAATTAATAAAATTGGTTGTGCATATCAGTCTCTTGTGAGTTTTGAACTGAAAATGGGCATCAAGAGACTGAGCTCTGGTTCATTCATTGCCTCATTCTTTCATTCACCCATCAAACCGTCTCTGTGAACCTACAGTCAGCCTTTGTTTAAAAAAAGAAAAAATTGCCGGGCGCGGTGGCTCACGCCTGTAATCCCAGCACTTTGGGAGGCCGAGGTGGGCGGATCACGAGGTCAGGAGATCGAGACCATCCTGGCTAACATGGTGAAACCCCGTCTCTACTAAAAATACAAAAAATTAGCCAGGCGTAGTGGCGGGCGCTTGTAGTCCCAGCTACTGGGAGGCTGAGGCAGGAGAATGGCGTGAACCCGGGAGGCGGAGCTTGCAGTGAGCCGAGATCGCGCCACCGCACTCCAGCCTGGGAGACAAAGTGAGACTCCTTCTCAATATAAAAAAAAAAAAAAGAAAAAGAAAAAAAGAAAAAATTCATTTCATTTTTGGGACGGACTCTCACTTTGTTGCCTAGGATAAGTGCAGTGGCATGAACACAGCTCACTGCAGCCTCAACCTTCTGGGCTCAAGTGATCCTCCTACCTCAGCCTCTGGAGTAGCTGGGACCACAGGTGTGCACCACCACGCCTGGCTAATTTTTTTATTTTTATTTTTGTAGAGATAGGATATCACCATGTTGCCCAGGTTGTTCTTGAACTTCTGGGCTCAAGTGATTCTCTCACCTCACCCCCGCAAAATGCTAGGATTATAGGCATGAGTCATCATGCACAGACCTTTTTTTTTTTTAAGAGATGGGATCTTGCTATGTTGCCCAGGCTGGTTTCCAACTCCTGGGCTCAAGTACTGATCCATCTCAGCCTCTTGAGTAGGTGAGAAGCCAGCCTTTTTATTGTAGCTATTCTAACTGGTGTGTGGTTGTATCTCACTGTGTTTTTGCTTTGCATTTCCCTGATGACTAATGATTTGGTTGTGTTTCCATGTGCTTATTTGCCATCTATATATTTTCTTCGGTGAAGCGTCTGTTCAAATCTTTTGCCCCTTTTACTTATTAGATGGCTTGTTTTTTCATTATTGCATTTTGAGAGTTCTTTTTTTCTTTTAATACTTTAAGTTCTAGGGTACATGTGCACAACGTGCAGGTTTGTTACATAGGTATACGTGTGCCATGTTGGTTTGCTGCACCCATTAACTTGTCATTTACATTAGGTATTTCTCCTAATGCTATCCCTCCCCCTGCCACCCACCCATGACAGGCCTTGGGGTGTGACATTTTCCTCCCCGTGTCCAAATGATCTCATTGTTCAATTCCCACCTATGAGTAACAACATGTGGTGTTTGGTTTTCTGTCCTTGTGATAGTGTGTCAGAATGATGGTTTCCAGCTGCATCCATGTCCCTGCAAAGGACATGAACTCATCCTTTTTTTATGGCTGCATAGTATTCCATGGTATATATGTGCCACATTTTCTTAATCCAGTCTATCATTGATGGATATTTCTGTTGGTTCCAAGTATTTGCTATTGTGAATAGTGCCACAATAAACATATGTATGCATGTGTCTTTATAGCAGCATGATTTGTAATCCTTTGGGTATGTACCCAGTAATGGGATGGCTGGGTCAAATGGTATTTCTAGTTCTGGATCCTTGAGGAATTGCCACACTGTCTTCCACAATGATTGAACTAGTTTACACTCCCACCAACAGTGTAAAAGCATTGCTATTTCTCCGCACATCCTCTCCAGGCATCTGTTGTTTCCTGACTTTTTAATGATTGCCATTCTAACTGGTGGAGATGTATCTCATTGTGGTTTTGGTTTGCATTTCTCTGATGGCCAGTGAATGATGACATTTCATGTGTCTGTTGGCTGCATAAATGCCTTTTTGAGAAGTGTCCTGTTCATATCCTTTGTCCACTTTTTGATGTTTTTTTTTTCTTGTAAATTTGTTTAAGTTTTTTTTTAGATTCTGGATATTAGCCTTTGTCAGGATGGGTAGATTGCAAAATTTTCTCCCATTCTGTAGGTTGCCTGTTCACTCTGATGGTAGTTTCTTTTGCTGTGCAGAAGCTCTTTAGTTTAATTAGATCCATTTGTCAATTTGGCTTTTGTTGCCATGCTTTTGGTGTTTTAGTCATGAAGTTCTTGCCCATGCCTATGTGCTGAATGGTATTGCCTAGGTTTTTTCTAGGATTTTTTATGGTTTTAGATCTAACATTTAAGTCTTTAATCCATCTTGAATATTTTTTGTATAAGGTGTAAGCAAGGGATCCAGTTTTCAGCTTTCTACACTATGGGCTAGCCAGTTTTCCCAGCACCATTTATTTAAATAGGGAATTCTTTCCGTTTCTCGTTTTGTCAGGTTTGTCAAAGATCAAATGGTTGGTAGATCTGGGTGTTATTTCTGAGCCTCTGTTCTGGTTCCATTGGTGCTATATATCTGTTTTGGTACCAGTCCATGCTGTTTCGAGAGTTCTTTATCTATTTGGTTTTTGTTGTTGTGTTGTTTCTTTTTGTTTTTTTGAGACCAGTCTCGCTCTGTCGCCAGGCTGGAGTGCGAATGGCGTGATCTCAGCCTCACTGTAATCTCAGCCTCCTGGTTCAAGTGATTCTCCTACCACAGCCTCCCAAGTAGCTGGGATTACAGGCAGGTGCCCACCACACCTGGCGTTCTATTTTGTATTTTTTTAGTAGAGATGGTGTTTTACCAGGTTTGCCAGGCTGGCCTCGAACTCCTGACCTCAGGTGATCCGCCCACCTTGGCCTCGCAAAGTGCTGGGATTAAAGGTGTGAGCCACCACACCCAGTCCTTTATCTATTTTGAATACTTATACTTTTTTTTTTTTGAGATAGAGTTTTGCTCTTGTTGCCTAGGCTAGAGTGCAATGGCACGCTTGGCTCACCACAACCTCTGCCTCCTGGATTCAAGTGATTCTCCTGCCTCAGCCTCCCAAGCAGCTGATATCATAGGCATGTATCACCACACTCGGCTAATTTTGTATGTTTAGTAGAGACAGGGTTTCTCCATGTTGGTCAGGTTGGTCTCGAACTCCTGACCTCAGTTGATCTGCCCACCTCGGCCTCCCAAAGTGCTGGGATTACAAGCATGAGTCACTGCTCACAGCCTTGAATACATATTCTTTATCAAATATAGGATTTACACGATTTCTCCTAGTCTGTGGCTTGTCTTTTCATTCTTTTAATAGTGCCTTTTAAACAGCAGGAGTTTTTTATTTTGGTGAAGTCCAATTGATCAATATTTTTCCTTTATGGATCATACTCTTTTGGTATATTTAGGAATCATTGCATAACTCAAGGTCACAAGGATTTTATCCTCTGTGTTCTTCTAGCAGGCTTATAATTTTAGGTTTTTCATTGTTGTTGCTCTCTTCAGAGACAAGGTCTTGTTTGTCACCCAGACTGGAGTGCAGTGGCTTGATCATAGCTCACTATAACCATGAACTCAAGCAATCCTCCTGCCTCAGCCTCCCGAGTAGCTAGGACTACAGGCACATGCCACTACAACTGTAGTCTAAGTTAAAAATTTTTTTCATAGAGACAGAATCTCACTGTGTTGCCCAGGCTGGTCTCAAACTCTTGGACGCAAGTGATTCTCCTGCCTCAGCCTCCCAAAGTGCTGGGATTATAGGCATAAGCCACCATGCCCAGCCAAACTTAGGTTTTATAATTGGGTCTATAATCCATTTTGAGTTAATTTTTGTATATGGTATAAGTAATAGATCAACATTCCTTTTTTTGCTTTGCACATAAAATCCACTTATTCCAGCACTATTTGTTGAAAAGACAATCCTCTCTCTATTTAACTGCTTTTGCATCTTTGTCAAAAATAAGTAATCCATATGTGTATTGGTCTATTTGTTCCATTGGCCTATTTGTCTATTTTGTTGCCAATACCATACTGTCTTAATATTTGTGGGCTTTATTTATTTATTTTTTTTTAGACAGAGTCTTGCTCTGTCACCCAGGCTGGAGTGCAGTGGTGCAAACATGGCTCACTGTAGCATCGACCTCCTGGGCTCAAGCAATCCTGCTATCTCAGCTTCTCAAGTGCTAGGACCACACGCACATGTCACCACACCTGGCTAATTTTTTTATTTTTATTTTTGTAGAGACCAGGTCTCACCACGTTGTCCAGACTGGTCTTGAATTCCTGGCCCCAAGTGATCTGCCTACCTTGGCCTCCCAAAGTGCTGAGATTACAGGTATGAGCCACCATGCCTGGACTGTTTTTTAAAAAACTTTTAATTTCTAATTTGTAATAGCTAGTTTATAGAAATACTTTTTTTGCATATCAATCATGCAACCTACAATTTTGTTAAACTCACTTATTCTGATTTTTTTCATAGATTTAATCAGATTTTCTTTTTTCTTTTTTTTTTGATGAGACGGAGTCGCGCTCTGTCTCGCCAGACTGAGTGCATGGCCGAGGATCCGAGTCCACTGCAAGCTCGCACCCTCCCGGGTTGGTACGCCATTCCCTGCCTCGCTCTCCCGGTAGCTGGGACGGGTACAGGCACGCCGCATGCGTCGTCGGCGCGTAGTGGGGTATGGTTTTGTAGGGAGCTGGGTTTCAGCCGGGGTTAGCCAGG